ATTCTATGTTCCTGATTAGTAAGATTTGACAGCTTTAAGGCAATAATCTCTAGATTCATCTAAAAAGTCAATAAATCCTTAGCAAAAATTTTAGCTAGAATTTTTGCAGACATTTGATCCTAAAATTCATACAGATACACAAATGACCCATAAATGTCAAAGCAATCTTGAAAAGAACAAAATTGTTCAAATATTCACACTTCTCAATTTCAAAGCTCACTACAAAGTCACAACAATCAAGATAATATGGCACTGACAAGTACAAACAAACTAATGGAACAGAATTGAGAACACAAAAATAAACCCCCACATTTATAGACAATTGAAGTTCAACAAAGTAGCCAAGTAAATTCAATGAAGAAAAGTCATTCTTAAAAACTGTGCTAGGATATTTGGATATTAACTTGCAAAACAATGAAGTTAGACATCAACCTCACACCATATACAAAAATTAACTTCAGTTAATTTATCTATTAGTTTATCTCTTTTTCAATAGATAAAATAGCAAAAATAATGAAATTTCAGAGACAATATAAGAGTGAATACTTAGAATCTTGGATTAGGCAAGGTTTCTTCGGTATAAAACTAAAAGCATAAGCAATAAAAATAAATAAATAAAATGACTTTATCAAAGTTCAACACTTTCTTCTAAAGAACATTACCTAGAGAGTGAAAAGAACATGCACATTAAAGGGAGAACGTTTGACAAATCATACAGCTGATATAGAATTTGCACTTCTATATTAAGAACTCTTAAGTCAATTAAAAGATCAATAATTCAATTTAAAAATAAGCAAAGGGTCGTAAGAGACCCCCAAAGAAGATAGACAAGCAGCCAGTACGCCCATCAAAAGATGTTCAACATCAGGAGCCTAGGAAAGCAAACCAAAACCACAGTGAGATACTACTTCATACCTACCAGTGACAGCTATAATTAAAATGACAGATAATAAACACTAGTGGGGATGTAGAGAAACTGGAAAATTTATATAGTCCTTGTGGAAATACAAAATAATGCATCTCCTTTTGAAAACAATCCCAGTAGTTCCTCCAAAAGTTAAACAGTTACCCATGTGGTCCTACACACACACACACACACACACACACACACGAGAAATAAAAATACATTCACATACAACAGCAGTAGTTACAAAAACCAAAGCATGAAAACAACCCAAATGTCCATCAAATGACAAGGGGATAAATAAAAGGTAGTATATGCATACAATGAATTACTTGTAATAAAAATTAAAGCAATACATGCTAGATTGAAGACACTATGTTAACTGAAAACAGGAAGTCACTAGGGACCATATATTATTATTCAATTTGAAATGTCCAAATTAGGTAAATCCACATAGGCAGAGAGCATGCTTTAGTTATTGCCAATGGTGGGAAAGTAAAAACAGAAACTAACAGGTTTAGAGTTTCCTTTTTGGATGATGACAATAAACTTGGGTGATAACAGCATCATTCTTTGAATATAATTGTGTGTGTGTGTGTGTGAGATGGGTGTGTGTGTGTGTGTGATGGGTGTGTGTGTGTGTGATGGGTGTGTGTGTGTGTGTGTGTGTGTGTGTGTGATGGGGTTTGAAGTCTGGGCCTGGGCGCTGTCCCTGAGTTCTTCAGCACAAGGCTTTTTCTGTTTATGTGGTACTAAGGAATTGAACCCAGGGCCTCATGCATGAGGCAAGCACTCTACCACTGAACCACCTTCCCAGCCCATTGAATATAATGTTTTTTAACTACAGAATTGTACACTTTAAGTAAGTGAAATTTGGGCTCTAGTAGTAGACCACCAATTATGAGCAAAAAAATCCAAGAGAGTATGAGGCCATGAGTTCAAACCCTGGTGTACACATGCGCTCTCTCTCTCTCTCTCTCTCTCTCTCTCTCTCTCTCCTCTCGCTCTCTCTCTCCTCTGTCTCTCTCTGTCTCTCTCTCTGTGTGTCTCTATCTCTGTCCGTCTGTCTGTCTGTCTGTCTCTCTCTCTCTCTCACACGAACACACACACACACACACACACATACACACAAAGGTCCTTAATTTTTTGGAATCTCTACCTAGCTATGAAAGCCTATCCTTAGATGAAATATTGATTTAAGTTTATTTGAAAAATCTTAACTTCCTTAATGGAACTCATAAAATTTTTAAAATAAAAAGGGGGGAGGGGCAGGCACTTGTGGCTCATGCCTGAAATCCTAGCTATTCAGGAGGCTACAAACTGAGGATTGCAGTACAAAGCCAACCCAGATTCAACACTTTCATGGATTTGGTAATTTAAGATAAAATCCAGAACCATGAGCTTCAGGCTCTACCTCAGGCAGTAGAGTACCAGCTGTAAACAAGCTGCTATCTGGAGAAAAATCCTGAAATCTCAATGAAATTCTGTATTTACACCAAGGAACTATTTTGAACTGTCCTCCCAGAGTCTAAGGCTGCATATCAGAGTTTAGGTATTCTGTTTTCTAGTCCATATGTAATAAAATATATAATTCCTATGTGCAAAATCACCTGGTGACTAGTCAGATTATCAAAAAAAAAGGGGGGGGCAGAGAAATCTGAACCAAATGTACTAATTTAACCATAACCTGCTAACAGCTGAGTTGAAAAGTCCTTCAGAGGCAAGTTGTGCTTATGGAAATGACTGCTGAGGATCAGACCTTATTGCTTACCCTGTTCTGGTATTTTAACCAAACAGACACTAAGTTCAAGCAATAGGTCTATTTGGACATCATTCTGCTAGCCGAGTGTGTACTCCAATTGCTTCTCTGGGCATGCCCAGAACATTGTTCCATAAAGAAGGTTTCCAGAGGTTTCAGGTTAACTCTCACTAAAGAGAAACTGTTCGCCTACTATCTTCCCCTTAGATCTTGTGATCTGAAGGTTTCACCATTCTTTTTCAGTTAATTTCTTAAAAGAATCTGTGCTAACTTTATTCAGAGATTGAACATCAAAGAGTGAATTATAGTATCAGCTCTGACACAGACTTATATAAATCTACATCAATTTCCCCAGTACTAAAATAGAAGAGTAGAATAAGTTGAATCTTAAATCCCTTTCTAGATTTTAAATTCTACACTTACAATACTTGCCAATACCAAAGATACACACCGCAAATTACAAAGGAAATTCCAAAAATGAGTAGTAAACACCTCTTTTCTTTGTATGAGTAGTACTGAGATTTAAAGAGGCTCACACTCATCACTTGATCCATGATCCCAGTACTTTAACTTTATTTAAGTTGTTTTTCACATACAATCATGAGCGTTTGCCCTGGCCAGATTTGGACCACAATTGTCCTAAGACTGCCTCCAGACAGATGTGTGCCAGTAAGCATATCTTTCATATCCTTCCATCATGGTGTTTTCCTCTTATAATCACTCTGGTTCCAAGCCTGTCTGCTTCTTCTAGATTCTTGTAATAATCCTCAGTCCTACTCTTCATTTTCTCCTCAATTCATTATGCTAACTACATTGCTATTAGATAACTTGCTCTATCACTTCCTTCAGTGGCTTTTAGCCCACTACTCAATGCACTCCACAGTCTTGTTCCAAAATATGGAATATTTTCTAGCCCTTTCTTATATTAATTTGCATCTCAGGAAGTCTGTCATTATTTTCTTCTGCAACATAGTATATTCAAATTTTCCTTTCATTCTTCTATCTGGAAGACTCAATTACATTCTCCACTGTTCCCTTCTTCCATAATGAGCGAACCCTCACTACCACTATGAAACCTTCTCTATCTATAATAAATCTGTCTCCAAGCATATGATTCCCTTCAATGGGCAGATTTAAGACAGCAGAGGTCTCTAGTAATACCTGTGTTTCATCTTCCCCGGTAAGTATCTCAACTTTAATTATAAGGTAAATATAAAACCACCAGCATATAAAAGGACTAAACAATTTATAAACTTCTTGAAAACCAAATAACAACTGATGTATAATTATTAGAAACTGTGTTGGAAGTAGAGCTGTGGTTCATGTGGTAAAGCACTAGTCTTACGGTTTAAACAACAACACAAGACATTGAGTTCAAGCCCAAATACAGTCCCCTACACACACAAAAAGAAAGAAACTGTACAATAAACCTATTCTACTCTTGCCAACAGTATTTTTACAGATGTGTTCTAAATTTTAAGACAATCCTTTGGGTTTCTGTCAACTCTTCTCCATTTAATTTAAAAGGGTGGGGGGGCAATCTAGGTTGAGTCAGCAATACTTTAATTACACATCATTAGTGAGACAAATAAATTCCAGAAAATGAAACTAAGAACAAAGTTTTAAACAACAATTAAACCCTTAAGAGTACAGATATGACACCGAACTCAAATTTGAAGAGGAAGAAAAGAAACATTTTGTCTGATCAGTCATTTAAACAAAATGGCATATTTTTCTCTAATGACCACTCAAAACTTTCATATAAACTTTTATATAAACTGCATGTGTTCTGACAAGTACCACCATCCCTTTTCCCTGATTATAATTATTCCTGACTTAATTCCAGAAACATTTTATTTCAATTACAAAGGTTTTGGTCTTGCTTATTAAAGAACATTTAATTTGATCTTTACCCTTGTGGTAATGATACTGAGAAAATGTGGATACAAGTCCAAATGTGCCACTTCTCTACAAAACAAAACAAAACAAACAAAAAAAAAAGAAAATTGATTACAGGCTTGAAATATCACATAGAAACAAAGCACATGTTTTCAACATGTCTCTTTAAATTGAGGTAAAAATATTTTGGCCAAAATACTGAAGACATTCATTAACTTGAAATAGTCTGGAAGTAAACCTGGAATTTAAAACACTCTTCTTTAACTATTTTGGCAATTAAAAAAAACTGTATTATTACACAAGACAAAGGAAAAAAGTGTGGAAGAATCATATGGAAGTGGAAGAAGTGTGGAAGAATTCATCTGTTAAGTAGTTGTCAATTTTGCTTTGTTTTGTTTTGACCAAAGATCCATCATCTGGGTGAGTCTGTATACTCACGTGCAGAGCAGAGGGGTCTGGAAGGAATTCAGCATCCTCTCCAAAGATAAAATCAGGGGGCAGCTCTGGATACTGGGCATTGAAAATTATATCCCCTGAAATAAAAGAAAATAAAAGGCCTTTCTTACTTCCTTGCTTGTTTATAAACATTCTAAAGAACACATCAGAAAAGTTTAACAAATTTTTATTTACTCTAAAAAGTAATTTGAAAAGCACTTTATGAAGTAGTAATTCTTCAAATAAAAGCATTTTTAGCATCTTCTGAATTAACATTCACAACAAGCAATGAAAACTGTCTAATGGGGGTTTGGAAGGTGGCTAGGCAGTAGAGTGCTTGCCTTGCGTGCATGAGGTCCTGGATTCGATTCCTTAGCACCACATAAACAGAAAAAGCCGGAAGTGGCACTGTGGCTCAAATGGTAGAGCGCTAGCCTTCAACTGAAGAGCTCAGAGACAATACCCAGACCTAGAGTTCAAGCCCCATGACAGACCAAAAAAGAAAACTGTAGAATACACTACTAATAGAAAAACTAAGTAGAAAAGTAGAATCCACCCCATCTAAAGTAAATGATAGGAAACATTTAATGAAGACTGATTCTGTATATTCATAGTGCTTGCCTTTCAAAAATCAAGCATATTTACATATCTTTGGTATAATGGAAAGCTCATTTGACTGAGAGTAAAAAAAAATTCCATTTATATCTACAAGGCACTCAACTTAGTAGCTCAAGAGTTCTTAAGTTTTAATTCTTTAGACTTCAGTTTCCATATCAGTAAAAAAGGACACAGTGGTGCTGATGTCACAGATTTTGTTTGAGAAGAAAAAGAAACAGTATGCCTAACATATGTGTGACATACAATAAACACTCAACAAGTAACACAAGAGTACTACTACTGTTAGTACTAGTATTATTAAACAGAACGCAAATTTGGGTTGCTAAGTTTTCCTTTTTTTTTTTTTTTTTTTGGTCCGGTCATGGAGCCTGAACTCTGGGCCTGGGCGCTGTCCCTCAGCTCTTCAGCTCAAGGCTAGCGCTCTACCACTTGAGCCACAGCGCCACTTCCGGCTTTTTTTCTTTTTGCTTATGTGGTGCTGAGGAATCGAACCCAGGGCCTCTTGCATGCAAGGCAAGTGCTCTACCACTGAGCCACCTTCCCAGCCCGGGTTGTTAAGTTTTCCTATCTCTATGTTTCTTTTCTGTCTCCCTCTTTAGCCCCCATTTTATTTTCTACTCCCCAAAAATTCAGTCATCATCATTCTGCTACTAAGAAGATTCATTTATTGACAATCTAATACACATATCAGAAGATAGTGTGGAAGAATCTAACCGTAAACTGGCACCAACCTCCGCATACATGACCACAGCACAGTTTTGTCAGTTTAATCATTTTTATTGTACAAATGTACATGATATCTGAATTTAAACATTCAGACTTCAGTTCTAATTTGAGCCCTTAAATTTCTGTGTAATAGGCATTTCCATGTTAGACTCTGCAAGTCTAAAAATGTGATCATGACTTCCTCTGCTTTTACATTCCTCTTCTTCTAGCTATCTATATTCAAGGACAGTGTTGTTATTTCTTAATAACCAAAGGTGAAACTTTAATGTCACCTTTATACCTTTCTACTCTAAAAACAAGTCATCTCAATATTTCCTCCAAAATTTCCTAAAGATTCTCCCTACAGCTAAGAACTCAATCCAGGTCCAGATCACCTTGTTTGTAATTCACATTTCCATTATTGAACAGTTGAACTTTATTCTTATTACTATGCTGGGCAGTGGAGATCAATAAATGCAGCTCGTAAGGAATTGATGGTCTAAATGATCTGAGTTGTACCCTCAGCAAGTAAGTCTTTCTAAAGTACTATGTAGACTGCAAGCTTCCTAATTCAGAAAACTTCAACGATTCTCTACTGGTAAATGGATTAGAGGTAAACTTCCTCCAAGATCCCTATATCCTACCTGCTAATCTACCCTTCTCGTGGTCTACAAGCAAATAACGGAACAATTTTACTCTGTATGATCTTCCCAATGCCATCCCAACGCTGTGACACCCAGTCAAAATGTTCTCATCCTTTAGAATGAGGGGTTTACTCACAATGCCTTCCCTGATATATCCGGGAAACAACAATGCTGTTTAGCTATACCACTCACTTGAGTATTTAATTACAGTCTTATCCTCTTTCCAATTAAGCAAATGGCTGAAATACGAGTTTTCATTCTTACTACCTTCTTTCTTAATCATCTGATACTTTCTTCCCATATCTTAAAAAAAAATATCAAAGAGGTTAATCGGTTTTCACACATTTTGGCATTAAGATCACTTTGGTCTCTTAAAGTTATTGAATATTTCAAAGACCTTCTGCTTATGTGGATTATATTTAGTTATATATGTCACATTCAAAATTAAAAATTTTAAATATTCATTTACATTTATAACCACCAGAAAACTGGAAGTGGCGCTGTAGCTGAAGTGGTAGAACACTATCCTTGAGCTAAAGAGTTCAGGGACAGCGCCCAAGCCCAGAGTTCAAGCCCATAACTGACCAAAAAAAAAAAATTCTCTTCTGTCCCTGTTTTTGTTTCTGTACTCTTTGTCTTGTATATAAGTTTATCTGGAGAGGCAAACAGTAAGCACAAATCGGTCGGACAAAAGGCAAACCAATTCAGCAATGAAACCCACTAGACACTGTGTTGGAAATGAACTATACAACTTTCAGAGAAGGGACGTCAGAAAGGGAAAAACTGAGAGAGAAGGAGGGAGGCGATGGCATTGTTCAAAAGGAAATGTACTCATTGCCTGAATCATGTAACTGAATCCCTCTGTATATCACTTTAACAATAAAAATTTTTTTTAATCTACAAATGGTCAATGAAGAGATGTTCAACATCATTAGCCATCAAGGAAATCAAAATCACAATGAGACATCATTTCATACTCACAAGAATAAGCCATAACCAAAAGGACAATCATAGTTACTCAGGAGGATGTAAAGGAAGTAACACTCCTTTAACACTACTAGGGGAGATGTAAAGTAATGCTGCTTAATTCTGAAACAGTTGACATTTCCTCAAAAAATTCATCATTGACTTACTATGTGACTCTGCAGTTCCACTGTTAGGTATTTACCAAATAGAGCCGGAAACACACCCACACAAAAACTTGTACATGGATGGTTATAGAAGTACTGTTTACAGGAGGCAAAATGTGGTGACAAGTCCATCAAGTGATAAATGGATAAGTAAAATATGTAATGCATACACACAATGGAATATTTTTAACTATAAATAAGAAAAACATACTGATATATGTAAAATTAAGCTAAGATGGGGGGAAAAAGCCAGAAACAATGGATCATTTGTGTTATTGCTGCATGGTCCCATTCATATGAAATGTCCAGAATATGCAATCCAGAGAATGAAAGTAGATTAATGACTGCCATGAGCTGGAAAAGTCAGTGTGAATGTTAATGGGGGTGTTTTCTCTCTGTAGTGATGGAAATGTTCTAGAATTAGTGTTGATGGTTGTATTACTTTGTGATTACACTAAAAAATCACTGACTTATACATTTTAAAGGTATGTGAATTGTATTAAATAAAGCTGTTATGTGTTTTAATCTTATGTAAAAATGTGCTCCACTTTAAAGAAATCTGATCTTAAACACAAATTATAAAGTGTTTACTGAGTGGTTGTGGGTAAATTTATTTTTTATAAATAAAAACATCTTGAAAATGCAATTTGAAGCGTTCCATTTTTAAATGGGCTCTTTTTAAAAGTGAAAAATACTTTCATATGATGATCTTTAGTTTTCAGGAATTTTCTAAAATGTGCCCTTTTAAAACAAAAGGAATATGGAACATGTATTTTCAACTTCGATTTTAAATACTTAAAGCAGCCAAAAGTATCTGCATACCCAGCAGTAAACTTTTTTCCCAAAAACAAAATTCTATATACAGAGTAATGCTATGCATCATCCTCTCAACTAAATAAAAGGAATTTTTGTAAAAGAAGTAAAAAGTTCATATAAATATTTTCAAAATAAAAAAAAGAAATCTGAATATCTCTCAGAATCTCACAATGGTCCTACCTTTTAACTTTTCTCAGTTAAAATTCTTGCCAGCAACCCTAAAGAACTCCTGAAACACTTTCCTTCAATACTCAATAGTCTCTTTGAAATGGATCGTGGTGGTGTTTTTCTTGCTATGGAGAACAGATAGTAAATCAGTCAAGAACACTTATTAAAAACTGTACTTGCACAGATGCACACACTGGACACCTGGGGAGTTATACAGGAAGTAGAAAACATAGCATCTGACCTCAGGACAAAGATGGTGAAGAAAAGACCAACACAAATCACAAAGAAGAGCAATAATATTGCATTTCCTTTATTTCACCCTGGAGAAGATGAGTGAACAGAGTTACAAATTATTTGGATACTCCTTACTTCAACTTTTCATAAAAAGGAAGAGTAAGTGGCAAACAAAGAAAATAAAAGTAATATCAGAGGCGATCTACAGTAAGGTTTAAGAAATATTTTTAAGTAATACAACACCTAAAATGTAGGTATCACAACCACCTAATGACAAAATGGGAGTTTCAAGTCTTACTTTTCATTCTCCCTGAAAAGTGCCAACCTATAACAGTAAGGCTAATGGAGAAGATTCGGGTCTTTCACAGTACATGTCTATAGTGGTTCCTAGTAGGACACACATGTGAAATCACAGACATTCGAGGTACGAGGTGGTTTCCATGTATGAGATAGTTTCCATTCTCGTGCTCTGGTAGCTGATATTCTTCAGAAAACAGAAGCTGTATCTCAGGAAGACCAGCCAGTCACCAGAGCTGATGAGTGGACCCTACATTCTACTCTCCAAGTATAGAAGAAAAACAACTTATTCCTTACTTCTTTTCCCTACTCTTCTCCAGTGTCTATCTCAAAGTTTAAATCACTGTAGAGAAGACACAGTTTCAAAAACCAACTCAAAATAATCTGATTTATCAGTTACTGCACTAAATAATTATTTACTGAAATTCTAAGTATGGGAAGTAAGGGTCAGACCAGAAAATTCCAGAATGAAAGAAATTCCCAAAA